CTTACAAATGATCAGCCATTTGCGAGGGACTAATCCCCACACAAATACTAAAACATATATGCATTTTCTAGGGGCTTAGCCCCAAGCAAATTAGTGACACAATGTGCAAGGGGCTTTGCTCCTCACAAATACCAAAATATAGATGCATTTTCTAGAGGCTTATCCTTTAGCAAAATACTGGCACGACTACGCCCTTAGCCTGCTCCTACACTTGCATGTCACTTGCATGTCAGCATGTGAAAATTTAAGGATAACATTTTGGGAGGGGATTAATCCCAAGCTAAATGTGACGTGGTGGGTCCCTAACAAATATTTTGTGATACCCTGTTTAGCTAGGAGACTTGTCCCCACATAAATTTTTTTGTGTGAAGGATTTTTGCATTAGTGAGGGGTTTAACTCAGCTAAAAATAGTTTTCTTGTAGTGAATGATTTCGCGTCTATAAAATGTTAGTTAGGAATTCTAGAAAATAAAACTACTCTGTTTCTACCTCTAAGACTATTATTTATTCTCTTACAAAAGAAAATAATAAATTAATCAGAAGAAATAGACAGACTAAGAGAAAAACAAAATATTTTAATTCAAAGCTCTTTTTCTCCTTCTTCTCCTTCTCACGAGGATCTTGTTAAACCTACTAGGTGTGAACAATTTTGTGTTTTGGAAAACAAAATTGAAGATCCACATAACACATTTGTTAAGTTTATCAAAAGAAAAGACAACTTGAATCTCATCCTAGGTAATAAGAAAAGAACGTCTAAATAATGAACTTAAATTTTAGTAACATATGCTAAAAATAAGAAAAGACAACTAGTAAACGTTATGAACCTAAAATTAATGAACATAAATTTTAGTAACATATGCTATGAAAATAGAACGTCTAAATATAATAGATATGACTGTATTGCTCTATGCTTTGTTATAAAAAATCAAGAAAGCATAAATGTTTATTATCTAAAAATATCTCGAGAATAAAGTGAGAAAAATATCTTAATTATCTCACTCTAATGATCACAATTTAGTTAGGAACTTATAAATAATATGAATTCCACAAAAAATAAGAGAACCCAAAAAGATTTGGTTATCAAATGTCAAACAGTTAAATTGAGATACATATATGTTTGAATGTGCAAATTCAAAATTTTAAATTCATAGTGGTTGTTCAAATCATATGAATGAAGTTATAAACTTTTTATTTTATTTTACTTCTAAGAGAGGAGAAGTTTCTTCTTAAGGTGACAACAAAGATAAATTTGTTGGATCTGAAACTATTGGTATGAGTCATAAACCTACCATTAAGTTGTTTTGATCATTGAAATTTTTATAAGTCATTTTACTTAACGTTAAGTAAGTTATGTGACCAAGGTACTAAAGTATTGTCTAATTCTTTTATATGAAATTTCTTTAAAAACTCTGGATAGTCATTTTACTTAACGTTAAGTAAGTTATGTGACCAAGGTAATAGAGTATTGTCTAATTCTTTTATATGAAATTTCTTTAAAAATATGAACTTCACAATGCACATTGAAATGAGATCCTTCACACACATTACAACCTATGTTTGGTGAAAGTTTGAAATTTGACGAATTGTCAGCAGCTGCATTTAATACTTGGTTGGTTTTGAACCACAAGACATTTCAAAAATACCTGCATCGGATTTGTATTATCAAAATTATTTGTTAGACATGCTACCAACATCTTCTAAAATCTTTTGTAGGCCTCCCTAAATGATTCCCCTTCTTTTGTTTGATGTTGGATATCTCTTGCCTCCTTCATACAAATAGAGATGGAAGGAAATATTGCTCCATAAACTTTTCATGTATGTCATCCCATGTGGTTATCCTTCTAGTTGGTAAGGACTCTAGCCACTCTTTTTAATCATATATCGAGATTGAATAGAGATAGTCTATATTTGTATGGATTTCCAACTTTATAGTACCACGTAGTATGTCAAAGTCTTAGATATTTATTAGAACTTCAGTGTATTTCCATGCTAACTGATTCTTCTTTTAACTCACATAGATATGTTGAGTTAAACTCAAACTTTGATACCTTTATAAATTGGATAACAATAGTCAATTAGTTCTAGCTTTTGCACGACCTTCGTAGTCTCCATGTAATCTTTCCTCCTTCATATACAAGTTTATAAATATGGTGAGTAATAAAGGATTAACTAGTTGTCCATAGACTTAAGAAAATAAACTATGCAAGCCTCTAATAGCCATAATTATTACCATCAAGAATTGGCAGTCAGTTAACATATACTCTTCCTTTGTCATTGTCCATCTTGAACATAATAGATTAAAAAACTCTGGAGCTCACCCAACCAAAATAGAGTGCTTGCTCGGATGCCTATTGAAATTATGTTCGGTCAACTACAAGATGTCACATGCAATGTTGAGACATTCTGTGAGACAATATGGTATGGAAGAGAGATGAAGAAATAAACAAGTTAAATAATATAGATAATTGCTAACTTAGTTAAGTGTAACATTACCTACATCTGGAGCGTTGTAGCCCAATGAAAAGAAATCCACTAATTCAAGTAGTTAGTAGTACATGACGGTATCATCTGAACTCTTTCAATTTAGTGCCTTTTTTCTACTATTATTTCTGAATTTTTCAACTAATAATCCCCCTAAATGTAAGATCCTTTTACTTTCACTCAAACATTCTCCCAAGTGTTTGCAAAAAAAATTATATATGAAGTGATTCAAATCATTATTATATACCAAATACTAGGGGTGACAAAATGGGTCCGACCCATTAGGCATGTTTGTTTTGCCTGCACTTTTTCGCAAGGCAGAACATTTTAGGTCCGCACCCTTTAATATGTATGTCATACCCTGTCCCGTCTTTTTGCGGACGTGGGCAATAACATAAGTTTTTGCAATTTTAGGCTAAAAAGGGCAGTTCCCGTGGGCCTGCTCTGCCTTCACTTTTTTGCTGGGCGGATCAAGGTCTTACGGTCTTTTGCGGGACAAGTATAAATAAGGAGTGCGTACCCGTTTTTCACCCCTACCAAATACTATATCCTTATAAAATAAGAAAGATACTCAAAATAGATTATTACACATGAACACATAAAGGCTCTATAAAACACAAAATACATCGCTCACTTAACAATTCTTCAAAACAAGCAAGTCTTTGAACAAGAAGAACCTTCTCCTTAAATATAAAAAAAAATGATCCATCCAAAAAGCATAGTAAGAATTAATCAAAACCAAGCTAAATCAAATCTTTTTAATAAAATCAAATCCAAATATTTTAATTAAATCATATTCAATAAAAATCTTTTTCATTTAGATATATGATTTAATAAAATCCTTTTTAAAACCTTAAAATACTTTTTCAAATGCAATGTTTGCAAACTTTTGGAAGAGTTAAAATAGAAACAAATCTTATAATAAATATTGAAGTGAGCACAAGCATAGTAACACGTTCTAGAGTTTAATGAAGACATAATGTCTCGCAATAAGTCAAGACATATTATTTAATAAGTTGTATATAAAAATTAATTAATCACTCTTGTATTGACAAACACATCATTTTGAAAAATATAATTTCAAATTTTAGCTAAAATAATAATTTCAAATAACTTTTTTTAAGAACTTTGGTTCGAATTGCTCTGCTAGGGTTTGAGAACCATGGGCAAATGGGTGTCGGCTAGCCAAAAAATCATGTGGTGGCACACCGGAAAGGAGTGGAACGAACAACAATATTGCAGGAAATAATTGAACACGATAATGATGTAGAAGAAGGAAAACTTGAGGATGCCATTAGGCCACAAGAGGAGATTTGCAGGCCATCACCAATGGTTACATCGCGGGAGGAGAAGGGAAATACGGAAAACGAATGAGCTACATCACCAGAAAAACTCGTGGAAACACAACACAAATCCTAGGTAGATGTAATCCAAGGTAATCGAAAGCTGAGTTGAGGTATGAGTGTGGAGTTTGTTGCACCATCATTCATCAATGGTGAAATAGAAATCGAAATTGAAGATTCAGATATTGAAGAGGAATTGGAGTTATGGAAAAATGCAATGATTTTGTTTGCTTTGGGTGATTCTTGTAACGCCCCAGACCGCTTTCAAGATCATTGACTTACCCCACAAATCAAGACGGGTCTTTTTAGCATGTCTTGTCCTCACTCACACGCTTTTCGAGAAACTTCCCAGAAACTCACCCAACTCAAAATTGCTCCAAGTCAAGCACGCTTAACTGTAAAATTCTTATGGAACGGGCTACCGAAAAGAAGATACATTTTGTTGGTATAGGTAGTACCGATTAATCTTTATAAGCCTTCCTTAAACCACGCAGTCCCATACCTACACAACCTCAAGATCCCTCTCATTTCGATGTGAATTCGATTTATCCCTAGAAGCTATTAGGAGTGTCTCATTGTCATGCCTCATGCACCGACAGCCACACCCTTGCCCTTGGGTGTAACATGTAACCATTATCCATGCCCTTCGACCTCGGGTGTTACAATTCTCTCTTGATGAATGTGGTGAAGAAATTCATGGAAAAATCTTGGAACTTTGCTTCACTACCAGATCTCTATTGCAACGATGAAGGATACTTCATTGTGAGATTTAAGAGTAATCAAGATAGGGAATATGTCATGGAACAAGGACCTTAATGGAAAACCAATTTTCATTAGGAAATGAAGTCCAGATTTTGAGATGAAGGAAGATCTTCTTTGTATGTTGCCGCTATGGGTTACACTGCCTAACCTTCCATTGAACCTTTGGGGAGAAAAAGCATCTAAAAAATTACAATTGTGATTGGGAAACCAATCACAACGGATGAATGTACTGCAAAGAAATTGCACATTTCACATGCTCGGGTATTGGTGAAAGTAGATATCACTCAAAAACCTAAGGAGACTGTATGCATCAGGGATCACAAGCGCAAACTATTGGAGCAAAGGATCGAATATGAATGAAAGCCACTGTATTGCCAAAAATTTCTGAAGATAGGGCACGATTGTGCTTTGAAAATGAAAAATGAGAAGATATCCAAGGTGTGGAAACCTGTTACTAAAAAACTGAATATTGTTCACCAAGAAGATAACAGTCAAGTCCCTAGAGAAGAGGAAAAAGCTAGTGAGGTATCTGAAGGGAAGACACCAGAACCTGTCAAACCATCAGAGGATTGGACTATAGTTACATCTAGGAAAGTTGACAAAGGAAATAAAGATATGAGTCACACCCCCAATAACTCTTTTATGAAATATCAGAATCTCTTTACTCCCCTTAGGATTGGAGACTATCCTAGGGGAGACAACAATCTTGACCAATGATTGTGATATGGAATGTTAGGGGAATCAATAAACAAGCTAGGCATAGAGAGATATGTTCCTATATCTCAACTTTTAATGTTCCTAGTTGTGCCTTGCTTGAAACTAGGGTGAAAAAACATAATGCTGAGAAAATTTGGAAATGTGTTGAATTTTATAGATAATTATGATAACCACATAAATGGTAGGATTTGGCTGTTATAGAACCAGACTCAAGTAGTTATTAAAGTCCCCACTTTCAGTGAGCAATTCATTTATGTAGAGGTCTATGGTCTGGACCAATCTCATCTTTATACTGTTACTATGGTGTATGCATTTAACCAAATTGAATATAGGAGGAACTTATGGAAAGATATAAAAAATATGAGCCGCAATATTATAGGGCCTTGGAAAACACCAATTCCTCTTTATCAGTATAGATAAAGAGTTGGAAAACACCAATTCCTCTTTATCAGCATAGATGGCTTCAATGTTTACTTCTTAAAAATAGCCTAGCAAATTGTGAAAGTGTTAGATACAGTGTTCGAGTATCGGGGTTTGTTATCGTCTCCACAGGAAATCTGTGATATTTCCACCGTTCGACAGTTGTTAAGTCCTTAACTTATAGTAACAAGGGGGTTTTGGTTTTTCGTTATGGTAGCTTGCATAAAAATAAGTAATAAATTGCGGTAAAAGTTTTGGTTTTACGATTTGAGAAATATTGTCAAAGTTAGGGTTCGACGATCACTTTGCATGTATATGTTCGATAAACAAAACTCATAAACTCCATTAGATGATAAACACATTCACAATATCCTCCCAATGTGATTATTTCTAACACACATTGTGATTTTTCCCATTTTGATCCATTGTTGATTTCTCACACAATCTATCAAAATGACAACTTTTAGGTTTTAACATTTGAGTGAACAAACACATTCAAGACTATCTCTAGCTCAAGAACATAGATGGATGAAAACTTAGATAAAGAGTTGGAAAACACCTTTCAATAATAAACCAACACAAAGAGTTAACAATAAAATAAGGTTTTCACCATACATTCATCATCAAAGATTTCACAAATGAAGATCAACCCATTTACATACAAAACTTATGATCATCTACATCTAACCTTGACAAAATGGAGGACTTAGCTACTCATTTTCATGGTAGCTTGCACAAGCAGTTTCGGGAGAAGGTTGATCAACATCTGAGTCAAAGAATCGATATTGGATGGGAATCCACCTTCTTTTTGGAAAATCTTGTTAAGAGATGAAGAATAGTGAGATATTGGGTTTCTAGGTCACAAAAATCACCTTGGAGCAAAAACAAAAGAAAGTGGTTGAAAAGAAGATAAAAAAGATATTTTACAAAAAGTAGCCCATGCTACTTATAGAAAAGAAAAGTGTTGTCCTGTCTTGCTCGCTAGGCGAGCAGAATGGTTCGCCTAGCGAGCCCTTCGCTGCTTCACTCGCTCCAGCGAGTTCTGGACTTTTTGGTTCTGGAAGCACTCGCTACCTGTTCGCTGAGTGCTCGCCTAGCGAGAAGTTCGCTACCTTCCTCGCTCTAGCTAAATCAGCTCTTTTTGCTACTGCCCAAGTCTGGGAGTGTTCGCTGGCATCTCTCTACGTACTCGCCTAGCGTACAACTCGCTACCTCTCTTGCCAGAGCTTCGCCTAGCGAGCTTGCTTTTGCTTGCCTTCTTTCTTGATTCCTTTGTCATCTTTCTTGTGTCTTCAATTTCTACTCTTTTATGCCTGATTACTGCACAATAACACACAAATTAAAGGTACCAAGATCATTTCACATAATATTGCAAATAAACAAAAGTAAGGGCGGTTTTGAAAACTTTCTGGACAAAAAGGAGTGAAAGATGCCCACATCTGATAGCTCAAATAAGCAAAATTGGGCATCTAACAGAAAGCTGATGTCAAAGCTGATGTTATAGATTTTTTTTATACCAGTAACATATATAAGGCCATTAATTTCTCTTTGATCCCTAAATCCCTTAAAGTTAAAACAATCAAGGATATGAGACCAATCTCTTGATGAAGCATTATTTACAAGCTCATCTCCAAAATCCTAACATCAAGACTTGGTAAAGTTTGAAGACACTCAATCAGCCTTTATGCCTGGCATAATTATTCATGATAACATCATGCTTTCTCAAGAACTAGTGAGAGGATATAACAGGAAACATATCTCCCCCAGGTGTATTGTTCAATTGGATATCCAAAAAGCCTATGATACTGTGGAGGGGCAGGCTTTGACTCACATTATGAAAGAGATGGGAATCCCTCAGGTGTTCAATAACTAGTTCATGGCTTGTATTTTAAGTGTTTCTTACACGTTCTTAATCAATGATACTCCATCTAGATTACTGAAGGCAAGGAGAGGGCTGAGGAGGGAGATCCTATCTCCCCCTCTTATTGTTGATCATTATGGAATATTTGCATAGGATCTTTCAAGGCTTACAAACTAATCCTAACTTTAATTTCCACCCAAAATGTGAGAAATTAAAGATCATTAATTTATTCTTTGCAGATGATATCCTCTTGTTTGCTAGAGGAGACATTGATTCTTTGTAGTTGATCATGAAGAAAACTAAAGTTTCTCTGCTACCACTGGTTTGTATATGAGCAGCTCTAAAAGAAATTTATATATTGGTGATAAGCCTAAAGTGGATTGGAGAACATTGTTTTTTGATAACCTTGCCAGGCCTAGAGCCATCTTTACCTTGTGGATGGCATGCCAGAACCGTCTATTGACCAAAGATAGGATGCATAATCATGGAATGAACATTGGTGGGGTTTATGTATTCTGTCAACTGCAGGAAAGCTGCCATCATTTGTTTTTCGAAAGTGCAGGTATAAAAAAATGTGCAGAAGCAAGTCCTGGCAGGATTTGGGGTGGATCACAATCCTGGTGGGTGGCATACTGAATTGCAGTGGATTCTCCATACAACCCGTGGCAAAGGGAGCCGAACCAAAATTCTGAAAATGGCCATAGCTGAGACTGTTTATCATGTGTGGAACGTTAGAAATAAGGTTATCTTTCAAGATTGTAATATAGATGCCTTGAACAGTAAACATCTTAGAGAGATCATGCTTATGAAAATTGAAGGAAATAGGAAGCTGATAGCTTATTGTTGGCTTTCTTGTTGTTTTATGTAGTTGTGTCGTCTTGTGGCCTAGATCTTTTGGATCGGCGTGTATTGATTATTTTTTTAGTAATAATATTTTTCTTATTCAAAAACTTTCCCAAATTTTCCTTCCCTGACTTACATATTTTCAATAACTCATTTCTTAAAAATCGATATATGTTCTCAATTTCAATGAAATGAGCACACAACTCTTATTATTCAGTAAATCCATATTCCCATTTTCTTCATATACACAATAGAAAGAGTAGTAAACCATATACACAAAAACATGTAGGACTACCTTATCAACACTAAATGTCATATCTAAATCCTACACGTATGATCACAACTGGGTTACCTTTTTGAAGGTTCATCTTCGAATATAAAAATTCACACTAAATGATAAGATAAATTGTGGTCGGTAGCATCTAATCTAACCTATAACATAGCATATTTGGATAACATGATATATACTTATAACCACATATCCATATGAAATATTGAAAAATGGCACACATAATTGGCAAGGCACAATCAAGATCTTTCACAAAATCTTGCACTCAATTTTAGTCTCAAATTTGTAGATTGGCCTAACAAAGACAACCATGTGCAAGGTTTCATGAATTCAATGTGTGTTATGTTTTTTCTTGGCTTTTTGTCCATCCATTCACGCGGTCCAGTGTTCCACAAGCAAATTCTGTCGTATAAGGCGTTTTTTAGTTTCATTTATTTCGTTTTCCATGGTTTTACTCTCATGGAATTTTTTGGGTCCATTAAGCTTTTACATCATAGGAAAATGTTAACTTTAAATTTAAAGTGAATTGTATTTATTTATCAACATTACAAAGGTATAAGTTGAACTAAACATGTCTTAAACAATGTCTTCATTGGAATTTTATGAATGAAAAAACATATTTCAGGTGTGAGATTCTATTAAGGCATGCTCTCGGCAAGACTTTTTCTTTTTTTAATAAATTATGTATTATAGTTTATTAGTTTTTAGGTTTAAAAATAATTTGTTTGGTAATTGTCATTTTTCTACTAATTTATAATTTATTTCTACTGGCTTATAATTTATTTCGATAAAAAAAAATTAAGCAAATGTGAGATATAGTTGCACCAATAGATTATAAAGGGCAAAGATACAAAAATATCAAAAGAGACCAAGCCTAAAGTAGAGAAGACCCAACCTATTACAATTATACAAAGCCAAAACATATCTAAGAAGACTCTGAAATCATGTAAAACCAGAATAGTTAAGATATAAGTTTGCTAACTTATCTGCTAAGTAGTTGCTCTCTCTATAGATATGAGAAATAATGAAATCCATGTCTTTGGTTAAGACTAAGTCATTGTTCCATTTGTTTCTTAAATATTATGGCACCAAAGAAGGAGAGTTGTAATCCAAAATGACTAATTTTTAATTAGTTTTGATCCCAGGTTCCATCAACCTCGAGCATGAGCACATTTAATAGCATGCATGACCTCAAGAAGCTCAGCACGAAAAGCCTTGTCTATATCTAAGTTGACAATAAAGTCTCCTAATAAATTTGCCTCGTGATTTTTAAAAACGCCTACACAAGAGGTCAAACCCGGGGCAATCAATAGCAACGCCATCTGTATTGCATTTCAACTGATTGAGAATAGAAGGCCTCTAAATAATTTCTTTTAAAGAGGTACATTTGTGAAGATGCATGTTGACACGAAAAACTTTTAAAAGTGAGATTCTGGTATGCAGATTTCATGTGTTCCAAGAACATTGATCTCTGCTGAAACAAGGACGAAGACATATCATGACCAATTTAAATTTCTTTAAATTGTACCAATGTCATGACCAACGTCATGACCTCTGTTGTGACATCTGCAGGCTGACAAACCTATT